CCTTGATTATTTATTTTTTCATACCTTTCTTTTTTTTAAATTTCTCTACTCCTCTTTCTTCTTTTTCTAAATTACCTTGTCTGTTCATGTGTTAGACAGAACCCTAATGTGGACTCCAGTTGTGAGACACAAAACTTAAATTTGAGCACATATTCTTTTTGTCTCAATTTCTCAATGAAAAAGCATTGATAGTATTCTCAAATTCCATATTCTGCATCTGTCACGTTCTGAGACATGACGCTGAAATTATGTACCTTCAGTTTTATCCATACCTGGTCAGTTCACATTTTGGCTTGCTTCCCAAGCCATAATGTGCTAGTGAGCCCTGGTGGGTGGCTTTAGGGACCGGAGAATGGAAATCGAGTTAAGCGTAATAGCTCTAAAGGACATCTGAATAATTGTGTGACCCTCAATATCTTCAAGGAAGAGCATCATTTGCACTCCTAATCTTCCATGGTAACATTTTCCAGGGCCTGTAATTATTCCCCAAGACATGTTTTATAGGAAAGGATTCAATAGTCAATGTGTTTGGAAAATGCTGGGCTAAATGAGTTTCATAGCTATATGAATTATCAAAAGCTTTTACTAGGCTAACACACTTCAACTTGCAAGACTTCAGAATTCTCCCTTTACAGGAAGAAATACCTCCTGGGATAAATGTTCTAGTCCCAATTGTTGCACAAATAGTCTACTTCCTGTCTCTTATGGGAGAACTAATTTTGAGGGCACTCAAAAGAGCAGCAGTGAGGTCAATAGAAGCAACTTAGTGAACTGATTGATGTCTTCACTTTGGATAAGCATGATGCATTCAAGATCAAAGCTTCTCCCTAGAGTTACATTCTGTTATTTGTCAATTTTTGGAAAGAAGTTTAACAAAAAAGGTTCCCCAAATGGAAAACTATGACCTTGAGTAAGGATAAGGTTTATAGGCAGTTGATAATTGCCTAAGCATTGAGCTCTATCTACGGCTCCCTTTGATTTCAGCCATACTATTCTCACACTGCAGGGGAAGTGGTTTAATTTCCTTTAGGTTCTTTGCACTCCTGGTAGGTTGGTTTGAGAAGAGTGAAAATTGTTACTCTTTAAGATGTACTAAGAATTAAACTGTGACATCACAATAGGTCGTCCAGAAGCAAAAAAAAAAATAAATAAATTTATACTACTTTTACTATATAGGGCCGGCTTATTCTGGTCTCTATTCATTATGCTGTACTATGGAAGTGCTTGTGCCTGAGGGCCAGCTGCTGATAACACACAGGAACAAAGCCAAACATAACCCACAGCCCTGCAAAAGAAGTGAAAAGAACTAATAATCTGATTGGATTTTCTGAGAAAATTCTTTCTAGAATAAAGCCTTTGGCAAAGGGAAATATAATAATAAGGGATAAAACTGCCATGCATTGACTTTACAATGATTGCTTGCTCTACACATCAGCATGTTAGTCTATGACTTAGGGATTCTATTAGTTTTTGGAAGGTAACCTGACTTCTCCTTAGTTGATTTGTTTTCTTGTCTAGAATTGTTAGATATCTGTTTATGATTGTTTTATTTGACTTTGTGCCAGTCATCATGAGATGGCCTTAAGACAATAGTATTTAGGGGCCGGCACCATGGCTCACTTGGTTAATCCTCTGCCTGTGTTGCCGGCATCCCATATGGGCACCGGGTTCTAGTCCCGGTTGCTCCTCTTCCAGTCCAGCTCTCTGCTGTGGCCCGGGAGGGCAGTGGAGGATGTCCCGGGTGCTTGGGCCCCTGCACCCCCATGGGAGACCAGGAGGAAGCACCTGGCTCCTGGCTTCAGATCAGCACAGTGCCGGCCGTGGCAGCCATTTGGGGAGTGAACCAATGTTCTCTGTCTCTCTCTCTCACTGTCTGTAACTCTACCTGTCAAAAAAAAAAAAAAAAAAAAAAAGACATTAATATTTAAACACCTATAATTTCCAGTTAGAGACCCTACTGTGTTCCAGAAGTCTCTGGAAGTTTTGAGTGACCCAAGAAAGAATTTATTCTTTTTTTAAAAATAATCCAGCAAATTTAGTACAGCAAATGTAGCCCTTTTCTACGTGTTTGGAATCCAGAGAAGCAAGGCGTCCTTCACTGCCCTTGCCTAGCCTTATAATGCAACTATACAAATAGTTTATGCCATGGACTGACTTTCTTCAGACTCAGTAAAGAGAACATTAATCTCAAAATGATAAAGAATAAAAGGAAATGTTCTGGTTTAACTTTAGCCATCACAATTTTCCATTCCAGAAGTTTTGATCTTATCCAAAACTCATTTTATTTTATATGTTTTTTGAAATCTTACGTGGCTGTTGCCTACAACAAAATTTACTTTCACAAGTGTATTTAATCACTAACTACTTGAAAGTATAGAAACCATAGCTTAGGTTATTTATCTCACACTGATTCTCTGTTTGGATTTCACAACACTGGTTTACCAACCATTGTATATTGATCCAGGTGAAGACAGTTGACCCATGGAGCTGTGTCAAGGTAATAGTGGTACCCTAGAATAATGATTTGTGATTCTTTGTTATTTTGGTCCATGGACCTGTCTGCTGTCTCTTTATCTTGAGTTTCAGATATGTGGCTCTCCCTGGATTGGAATAGATATTGTAGTATTCTTTCAGTAGTGTATTTTTTGTTTTATATATCAAAATTTATTTATTCTCAAACAAGAATATTTACAAGACCAAAACATGTTTAAGAAAATTATGTAATAAATAAGGTTTTTACACTTCAGCCAGTTTTAGACAGTTCCAGGCCAGAGGAAGATAGTTATAAAAAGGTAGAGAGAGTGGAATCTCACGAAAGAGTTAGGGAGAAAACTATAGTGGAAATTACATGGGGGGCCGGTGCTGTGGTGCAGCGGGTTAATGCCCTGGTCTGAAGCGCCGGCAACCCATATGGGTGCCGGTTCAGGTCCCAGATGCTCCTCTTCTGATCCAGCTCTCTGCTATGGCCTGGGAAGGCAGTAGAAAATGGCCCAAGTGCTTGACCCTCTTGCACCCATGTTTTAGCCCCTGTTTATACTCCTGTGGGACTGATGTCTCCCTACTTTTTATTTGTTGAAAATAATAGTTGGTGGGAAATTAAATCTGTGATTATAGAGTGGATTAAAATTATGTCTTTGCAAAAATTAATGAAAAATGTAAAAAAGGCAGAGAGGGAGGCTGATTAGGGGAGGTCGAAGGGGAGGGAGAGATGTTTGGTTATCTTCTTAGAAGTATATCTATGAAATATATGAAATATGTTCTCATTATATTAATAAAAATTGAAAAATAAATTCCAATAGAGGAACATCCAATAATATACCAGATCAATACAAAGAATATTTTCCAAATCTTATTTCCTAAAAGTCTTTGGAGAATTCCTAAAGATATTCTGGGTGGGAGCCATGACTACACATTTGTGACTGAATTCACAAGTATGCTAAAATTCTGGTATGGACACAAAACTGCAATATAAATTAGAATACTAATTATCAAGATAAAAGAGTTCCTGTCAGTCTTCCCTTACATTTACATAAAGTGGAAACTTATGATCATTCTTAATATTCATGTTTATTCCAAGCTTTTAAAATCAACCTTTGAAAACTTTGAACACTAGTGAAAATGGAAGAAACTGCCAATCATCCTGTACCAAGTTATTTGTTTATATTTAGCTTATTGAAGTGGAATTCCTTAAGGATTTTTGTTCTTGGGCATTTCAATGTCCAACATTTCAAATCTAATTGCTTTGTTGTGTTACAAAAGGCATATACAAATTTGAACATATTTAGTTATATTTTAAATTGACTTGAGTATATTGTAAGAAACCAAAAAAGTGATACCTCGATTCTAAACCATAAACCATAATTTGTAATTATTGATATTAATACCATCAGAACTATTCACTGCAGATCCCATATTTGGAAAAACAGGGTGGATCCATAGTTATTGCCCCTGTTAAAAAGGCCAAAGCTTGATTTCTTGATTCTATAGGAGATGGCCAAAATTTTCGACAGTCATAGTAGTGAGTCTGAACTAAAACCTTGCACATAATTAGACCCAAGTTAGAAAGGTAGGATTAGTGAACCAGTTAAAGTGATAATCTCAGGATCATATGCAGTAGAATAAATATATTTGCAACTATAAAGAGAAAGAGGAGCCATGTGGAGAACATTGTGGACTGTCTTGAAGGGAACAGAAATAATGTATATTTTGTTTCTTAAGTTCCTTATATATCCTGGATATTAAATGTTTTTCAGATGCAAAGTCAGAAATATTTTCTCCATTCTGTTGATTGTCCCTTTACTTTTTTAATTGTTTCCTTTGTTGTGTAGAAGTTTCTTAGTTGATGTAATTCCATTTCTGCATTTGTTTTTATTGCCTGCATTTCTGGAGTCTTTTCTAAGAAATCTTTACCTGGATCATTCTCTTGCATCATTTCCCCTATGTTTTCTTCTAGTAATTTGATGCTTTCAGATCTTAGGTTTAGATCCTTGATCCATTTTGAGTTGATTTTTCTACAGGGTGAAAGGATAGGGACTTGTTTCAAAGTTCTGCATGTGGAAATCCAATTTTTCCAACACCATTTACTGAAGAGCCTGTCATTCTCCAGGGAGTGATTTTAGCTTGTTTATCAGCAGTTAGTTTTGATGCCTGAATTAATTTCTGATGTTCTATTTGTTCCATTGGTCTACATACCTATTTTTGTGCCAGTAGCAGGCAGTTTTGATTATAACAGTACTGTAACATATCTTGAATCAAAATTCCAAGGGCACTCTTCACAGAACAAGAAGAAAATAACCATAAAATTCTTATGGAAACACAAAAGATCTTTAATAGCTAAAGCAAACTTGAACAATTACAGCAAAGCTGGAGGTAATGCACCCTTTGCAATTAATGTCATTTGTTAGTTCATGTGAGTAGATGGAAGCAGAAGTCTATGATTTTCATATATGCAAAGTATACATTTTTCAATATGTTATATATATGATCTCTTTGATTTTCAGATAGTTCTTGGAAATGGAAAGGACAAAAGTTACAACTCCTAAAATACAAGATGGAAATATAAAGAAAAATATCCTGCTAATATTCTCACCACTAACCAATAGCCACTTCAGGACTCAAATCAGGTCTCTTGCGTCTTTTACTCTTTCCCTTATACTCCTTCAAGAATTCCTAGTTGTTCTAGCACATTTACAGGCCAGGAATAATCTGGTAAGCCTACAAAGATTTATTGAACACAGAATTTTTCTGAATCCGATCTGTGGCTGCAAAATAAGGTGCATCCCACTGTTCTACTTGCATAGCATGTTCCTATTTTAAAGCGTATGAATCTAGTGCTTGGTTTTGCATGTCAATGCATAGAGGTTATCAGATAGATGGATTAACTTATCACAGCTCACTTCAGTAAAAGTATTTCATCCTCCATCACCTAGATTTCACAAGAAAATGACCATTTCTTTCACTGAGTCCACTGGCCCAAATGAATAGAGAATTTGTTGCAGAAAATTCTGAATTTGGAGCATTATATAAATAGCATCTGATGAAAAGTAGTATAAGTAATCTAATATATAGTACATTCAAATACTAATGCTATGTTATCAAAAATTAGCATTAATAGAAAAAGTTGAAAACAGAAATATAGTTAACAAAATACTAATCTCATGGAGAAGTCTGAAAAGTAATATTCAATAGTCAAATCTATATCTAAAAAGTGAAATTAGAAGAGATGATCTTTAATAAAAAAGTTAAAATTATCTTCAGCCTACTTTATAGAAGATACATTATATTTACTGAATTATATTACACCAAAAGAAATGAGAAAGAGTGATAAAAGTTATCCTACACACTTTGTCAACACTTTAGTTAACTGTGTAAAAGTGTGCTATTGCTAAATCTTTTATCAGAGGTAGCCAGGCAAGGGCAACTTCTATGAAAAATATTTCAATTTTTTAAAGCTATTTTTTTTTAAATATATTTATAGGCCGGCGCCGCGGCTCACTAGGCTATTCCTCCGCCTTGCGGCACCGGCACATTGGGTTCTAGTCCCGGTCGGGGTGCTGGATTCTGTCACTGTTGCCCCTCTTCCAGGCCAGCTCTCTGCTGTGGCCAGGGAGTGCAGTGGAGGATGGCCCAAGTCCTTGGGCCCTGCACCCCATGGGAAGACCAGGAGAAGCACCTGGCTCCTGCCATCGGATCAGCGCGGTGTGCCAGCCGCAGCAGCCATTGGAGGGTGAACCAATGGCAAAGGAAGACCTTTCTCTCTGTCTCTCTCTCTCACTGTCCACTCTGCCTGTCAAAATATATATATATATATGTATGTATATATATATATATATATTTATAAGACAGAGTGACAGAGAAGGAGAGACAGATGATAGATTTTCTATCTGTTGGCTCAATATCCAAATGCCTATAATAGCCAAACCCAGGAATCAGGAGCTCTATTTGGGTTTCCCATTGCTTGCCAGGGACCTAAGTACTTGGGTCATAATGTGTTGTCTCCCAAGCAAATTAGCAGGGATCTGGAAGGAAAGTAGAGTAGTCAGAACTTGAACCAGCACTTTGATATGGGATGCAGGTGTTTGAAGAGGCAGCTTACTTCTCTGCACCACAAAATCTGCCCCAGAGCAAGATTTCAATTTTACTGGTGAAAATGAAAGTACTCAATTATTCAAATTTTGTTCTAGCCTTTGTAATTGTTTTAGCTGGGTCTTTGCTGGGAATTGGCTATGTAAGAGGAATCATGCATTTATTGTATAAATAAAATTAAATCATATCAATTAAATTATTTTCAAGATAAGACAGCGGTTTTGATATGAGATGCATTATGTATGAAGGCAAATGTTGATGTATGCTTAACCTGTTGAACATCTAGACAAGCAGTACACTTAGAGGAAAGGATTGACATAAGATTTCACAGCCAACTGCAAAAATTCCACCATTATTTACCAGGCTTTTACACAGACACTGCTTCATTGGATTTTTAGAACTGAATAACATAATTATATTTTTCCATTTACAAATGTGGAAATTCAGGTTTAGAAAAGTTGACTATATCTCAGTAGGCTGATTTCGTGAGTCTGAGCCAAGAATAGAGGTTTTAAATTAATGTGATGGAGCTGCAGAATTTTCAAACTTTTTTTTTTAAATTTTGCCTCATTTTTGGTAAAGTTAAAAATATAATTGTTGAGATTTCTCTAAATATATTCTTACTAAGGTTAAAAAATGCAGGCCTGATTTTTTAAAACTAATTTTCTTGAAGTATAATTTATGTTACATGGAGTGCATCCATTTAAATTGTAGCATTTAATGAGTTTTTTTTTTTTTTTTTGACAGGCAGAGTTAGACAGTGAGAGAGAGAGACAGAGAGAATGGTCTTCCTTCCCTCGGTTCACCCCCCAAATGGCCACCACGGCCACCGTGCTGCACCGATCTGAAGCCAGGAGCCAGGTGCTTCCTCCTGGTCTCCCATGCAGGTGCAGGGCCCAAGCACTTGGGCCATCCTCCACTGCCTTTCTGGGCGACAGCAGAGAGCTGGACTGGAAGAGGAGCAACCAGGACAGAATCCAGCGCCCCAACGGGGACTAGAACCCGGTGTGCCGGCGCCACAGGCGGAGGAACAGCCAAGTGATCCGCGGCACCGGCCACATTTGATGAGTTTTGACAGATCTATATAAGGTAAAACTACAATCACAATAAAGATACAGAACATTTTCATCAGTCCACCATACCTACAAAATGAATTATGAACTTCCGTTTTGACTCCATCAACTAGTTTATTTAATCCTCCACTTGTCTTAACTTGTCTAAACTACCATCTTACCTATTTAAGGACTCTTATGTGGGAAAGTAGACATTCTGGAGCACAAATGCAAACATAATGTCTTTTTTTTTTTTTTTTTTTTTTGACAGGCGGAGTGGACAGTGAGAGAGAGAGACAGAGAGAAAGGTCATCCTTTGCCATTGGTTCACCCTCCAATGGCCGCCGCGGCTGGCGCGCTGCAGCCAGCGCATCGCGCTGATCCGATGGCAGGAGCCAGGTGCTTCTCCTGGTCTCACATGGGGTGCAGGGCCCAAGGACTTGGGCCATCCTCCACTGCACTCCCTGGCCACAGCAGAGAGTTGGACTGGAAGAGGGGCAACCGGGACAGAATCCGGCGCCCCGACTGGGACTAGAACCTGGTGTGCCGGTGCTGCAAGGCGGAGGATTAGCTTAGTGGGCCGTGGTGCCGGCCCAACATAATGTCTTAAGTTACATTTAGTTATATGAAAACTGATAGAACTATGGAATAGAAGATGGATGCAGAAAAATTAGGAGTAGGAACAATATCAGCAAAAGTACTGTACTATTGCAGGTGCCATGTGATTTGGGCAAGTGCTAATTAATACCAAAAACATAGATCTTCAATATGAAGATACATAGTTATACCATATTTACTTATGAGTTGTAAGCTTTCTCAATGCATGTTTCCATTCCAGCCTCATATGGTGTGGCATTCAAGTTCATGCCTCAGGGAAATTCCAAATTATTTCAGAGAAGGAAACACTGAGGCTGATAAAATTAGACAACAGCAATTGTCGGGTGCACGAAAATGGTGAGTTGGCATGCACTGACCCCAGGACTTTTTCCAACTTCTGTGGGATCTTCTAGAACACACTCTTTTTTATTCCTTTTATTAAATATTTAATGGCTCCTGTTATATCCAGGTGAAACCTAAACTCTTTATACACAGTTGTAAGAACATATGATACTTCCCATCCCCTTCCCTTTCATGCTCCCTCCCTCTTCCTTTCTTATTTTTCTTTTAATTTTTCATTGACATACTTTCAGCTTACTTAATCTTCAACTAAATAAGAAATTCAACAAGTAGCAACCAATAAAACCAGTATTCCTCAAAAGCATTGACAAGGATTGTAAGTAATAATCAAATCTCAAATGTCAATTTCACTCATATACATTATATTTTTTACTCTATACATTAGTTACCAGAAATCAGAGAATGTATATGATATTTGTCTTTTGGGGACTGGCTTATTATGCTAAACATAATGGTCTCTGATTCTTTAGTGGATGTATATATGTATAGGATGTTTAAAATTAGAAGTTAGAAATGTGCCAGGGGATTCCAATACAATCCCATCAAGGTTGCAGGTACCAATACCATCTCACTAGTCCAAGTGATTAATTTCAAGTCACAATAGATCACACTGATAGGTCTAAGAGTCAAAGGGATCACACAAACAAGACTAGTGACTGCTAATAATAACTGATAGAATAAAAAAAGGAGAGAACGATCCAACATGGGAAGCAGGATACACAGCCGACTCATAGAATGGCAGATGTCCTAAACAGCACTCTGGCCTCAGAATCAGCCCTTAAGGCATTCGGATATGGCTGAAGAGCCCATGAGAGTATTTTAGGCATGGTAAACACCCTAAATGAAAGATCTCTGTGAGTGAGATCCCATCGGAAAGAACAGGCCATCAAAGAAGGAGGTACCTTTCTCTGAAGGGAGGAGAGAACTTCCATTTTGACTATGACCTTGTCTAAATAAGATCAGAGTTGGCAAACTCAAAAGGCTTCCATAGTCTTGGCAACTCATGACAAGAGCCTAGGGAGATTACTGATGCCATAAACAAGAGTGTCAAATTGTTAAGTCAACAACAGGAGTCACTGTGCACTTACTCCTCATGTAGGATCTCTGTCCTTAATGTGTTATACAATGTGAATTAATGCTGTAACTAGTACTCAAACAGTATTTTAGACTTTATGTTCTGTGTGGGTGCAAACTGATGAAATCTTTACTTAATATATACTAAATTGATCTTCTCTATATAAAGATAATTGAAAATGAATCTTGATGTGAATGGAATGGGAGAGGGAGCGGGAGATGGGAGGGTTGCGGGTGGAAGGGAAGTTATGGGGGGAAAAAGCCACTGTAATCCTTAAACTGTACTTTGGAAATTTACATTTACTAAATAAAAGTTAAAAAAAAAAATTGGAAGCCGGCCCATTCTTCACATTCCTCTCTCATAGTGCTTGACCTAGTCTAAGCAAGGTATGGAGGTCATCATGATGGTTATTCTTTATCCACAATGCCTGGAAAACTGATATTATACCAGGTCACTCCCCCTTAAGCCCATACTCAGCGTGGTACAGAGACCATTGCTATGTACCATCAGACTCCTCAGAGGTGCTTGGTATTTTACGTCATGCTGCTATAACAAAGTACTATGGACCGGATTGCATTAAAGGACAGGAGTTTATTTCTCTCGTTTCTGGAGCCTGGAAATCTAAGATCAGGTTGTCATGAAGTGTGAGTTCTCGTGAAGATCTTCTGGGCTGCAGGTTGCTGGCTTCCGTTTGTTATCTTCAAATGATAGGAAGAAACCAAGCTAGCTCTTTGGTCTCCCTTTATGAAGCCACTAATCCCTTTCATGAGGGTTCCAGCAACGTGACCTAATTATTCCCCAAATATTCCACCTCTACATAACATGGTTGTGGAGATTCAATTTCAGCATATGAATTTTAAGTGAATATAACATTCATTCTAAAAGAAAACTCAGGCTTTGGAAATAGATTATGGCCTTAAACCATTCCTGCGTCACTCACTGACTGTGTGGTCTCTGCTAACGATGCTCCAGAAGACTCAGTTTTCTGAAATAATAGTATTAATTCCTGGATATTTTTGGGGGGGATTTGATGAAGTGTCAGAATTACTAAGAGTAAAGAATCTGCACCAAGACTATCTTGACCATATTCTTGCTCTGCCACATGTGTTCTATATGATCCTAGAACAGTGATTTAACTTACCTGTGCCTCAGTTTCCTCATATAGAAAAATTAATAGAATCTAATTCACATGATTGTTCTTAGGATTGAATTAATGAACTAAGGTAAAACACAGAGCTAAAGCATGGCAATTAGTGTTCAAATAAGTATAATCTATTGTTACTGTGATTTATTATAAAAAGATTGAA